ACATGTATCATCCAGTTTCGTTGTTGTGTCGAGTGAATTGTTTGCTGGATTTAGGATAATTTCAGTGGTTTCTGCAGCAATAAAATCATAATCATTAAATACCAGCGAATCGTAGGGATAAATGCCACATTTCTTAAATCCGTTTATTGCTGTCCGCATAGTTGCAGCTTGTAAAAAAGGTTTTCCATCCGATGGGTCTTGCTCCAGTACCTACTTCATACTTCATAGGTTATTTGTAAAATAATCTGAATCATTTCGTAAGAAAAGCTGTAAATTTATAAAAAAGTAACTAATAAGGTAAATTAAGTGACTGTTTTTGGTGAAAGAACATACATACAAATAAACTGGCACTATTGTGAACTTTTTGTATACTTATATAGTTATTGAGAAAATGCAAAATCTGGTCGTAACTCGTGACACGCGTGGCCTGTAATACTGATATTTTCAGACTGGTGCTCTTTTTCACCAATGTATTGTTTTTTATAAACAATGTTTTCCCGTCTTACCCCGCCAGTCCGTTTTGCCTGACCTCACTCTATACTTATTTCTTATAAGCGATAAAATAGAAGAAATATAAAGGTCTAGCAATACAGAAAAGTTAATATTTCATTAACATATATTATTAATATTTGTTAACATATACATTTAATTTTGTGATTTAATATTAAACGATCATTTAAATACTTAAATAACGATTGCAGTACATTCAGATGAAGTGTAATCGATTTAATCTGTAATAAAGTAAGTTGCGCAGTTCTACTGCATTTGTGACGTGAAGCAGCCGTCAGAATATTAGTAGGTCTCTTCAGTTTCTGACGTCAGATCATGTCACTATGCCTGTTGTATTTCTGCTGCTAGTTCACTGACAGTACTGATGTAACAGACCCTCTAGCAAATCTGTAGCAAATCTGCACATTAGGTCTACAGCAGAATCTAGCAATATTTGTTTAGAGCAGGTTTGGCTGACAGGGATAATATTCCTTCAATAAAACTTTTCATTACTCAATAACTTTTATGATATTTTAAAAATAATGGAGTTAACAAGGTGATTAAAAAATGCGTACATCCAGCCCACCCTATATTTAACCACGTCGAACAAATGAACGTACGATTGGCGGGGAGAGCGCGCGGGTGATTGGAGCTCGCTTATTGCAATCTTCTTGAATATTTAGCCTTCTACAGCTCTGAACGTTGCAATAAACAAGTTTCTATTGTACTTCGTCTGTAAAGATAGGTCTAGTTTCTGTGCTTATATCACAGACGAGATATAAGGATAGACCTAACATGTAATGTAATTTTCTGTCCCATGCTTCGGGGAAGTCAGAATCTCCCATACCATTTCGGAATTCCATTCCTTGCTAGCGAAACTGGGGCAATACTGTATGTATGTATCGCTACATGTAAACACGGGTGTATATGTGCTGTGCATTATCACGGTCTCGAATGTCATTTCTGATATCGGAACCTTTTATGTAGAGGTGCGCTCCAACCAGCGTAATTTTCGAGGGACACCAAGTCCCATAAGATGTTAGATCTATTCTCATATCTCGTCTGTGCTTATACTGAATACCAACTGATGGTTTCACTTGGTTCGTCGATAAAAAGAACATTACGAACACTGAAACGAATCTTACTTAACGAAATGGGAACTTTAAATTCTAGTTTGATGTACATTAATGGTGAATATACTCTACATAATGTAACCAACGAATATAATTTTATTAAGTCTCGCCAACAGCGGATCAAATGTTTACAATAGAAGCTTGATAATTCAATGTCCGTTAATTGATCACTACGAACGCCGCGCGCACACTGGATTTCTCACACGTGCGCGTACCATAATCTGTCGCCCAGGGAAGAAAAAACGGAGTAGGTACATACGGTGTCACGTTTAACTCACACATTTTTTATCACGCAACTTCGATTCTGAATAACTTTTGTGGATACACTTTTTTGATACATATCTCTAAAAATAATGGAGATAGTAAGGCGATCAAAAAGTTCGTATATCCAGCCCACCCTATATGTAGCTACGTGGAACAAGTGAACGAATGATTATAGATCAGTGGGGAGAGCACGTATATGATTGGAGCTCGTTAATGGATCAATTATAGTACTTTTGACCCTCTACAGCGCTTAAATGATCAATTATCGAGCTTGTACTACATTTCGCTACCCTCATTGTTATCATAACAAAAAAATTTGTTCTGCAGAATGTATTCTGTCACGTACAAAAATTTAAATACGTTAACATGACCAATGTACATACATAATTTTTTGTGTGAAGTAGACTCACACGGTACATTATCAGTGACAGGTTTTCTGCATGTGCGCAATAAAGGTTTGCAATCAGTGACCGTTAGATGGCAACATTTTCGATCGATCAAAGAAACGTGCACTGTGATTCGAGCAGGTTCCTGTTGGTTCACTAATCGCGTCTGCCTCTATTTTTGTAGAGGTCGAACGCGTTTGCCAGCAAGCGCTATCCGTGCTCGAAGATTTCAGTGCGGCTTAGACTTCAGCCGGACGAGGTCTGGCCTATTGTGTCTTCGGTGTGTGTTACTGTAAGTACCAGCATTATTGACTGAAATTGATCGTATTTTCGTGTCGTTTCGTCGTATCACGTCGCACATACAGCAACGACTATGTAAGTCAATCGTGGCGATCGTTTTACCGCGCCATTTCCCGGCACATCAATTATTTTATTGACAATTCCCTGTGGCGGTGCGAAGTGATAGACGAAATTGTCTGTAAGACTTGAACTTATTCATTTGTGGCAGTGCTATGGAATTCAAGCATAATTTTTCCTCCATTTCTGCACAAATTTCTCACCAATCGTACGTCTGCGGCAAAACTGACTAACGATTGCTCGTGTCACGGTTCAGTCTTATATGGGACTCATGTCGTCGCAACACAAGGATTGATTGCGCGGGTTAGGTACAATTTTTGACTAGTATAGTAGCATTGATGATTGGTGTTTTTGCCTACAAATTCTCAAAATAGGGCCTACGACGAAAAAGTTATGACAATTTGCCAACGAATATCCAATGTTTGGCCTACAATTATTATAGTTGTTTAATTAACAAGAAATTTACAATGATAATACAATGTTGGTCCACCCAAAGTTTTCCACCATTTAAACATAGTCTTGAAGACGTCAGAAACGTTGCTACAACCAAAAACTTGTTATTATATTTCAAATTGATTTTTTTGTTTTCTTATTTATGAATATACTCGCAATTTGTTACTGTCGCGCAATACATTTGACATTTGAAGTTTTGTGAAAATAGAGTCAGGGCACAGAATATTGGAAATAACTTATAATAATTATTTGTAATAGCTACATGTATAAATTATACATAATAAATTGTAAAGGTAACTATGCTAGTAAAACACTTGTTTACCTGTTTAATATACATGTACAATTTATAGATGTATATAATTATTATAACAAGTAATTATTATAAATATTATTTTCAGTGTTATACTCCTTCAAATATTTTCCAAGGATTTTAGGGAATTGTAGTATAGCCAACTGTCTTCCTATTATTGGTTTATTGTAGATATATACTCAACAATTAGCCCTACAGAAAGAAACCTTCAGTTGGCCCTTCGTATTATAGTGACGTGGGCCCTACGTTGGGTATGTTCGTTGGTCCAGTTGCAAAAAAGGATGACAATTCTAATGCTGGCCAACCAATACTGCACCAAAGGCCCATCAAAATGGCAACAATAATTGCTTTCTGTGCTTATATCACAGACGAGATATAAGGATAGACCTAACATGTAATGTAATTTTCTGTCCCATGCTTCGGGGAAGTCAGAATCTCCCATACCATTTCGGAATTCCATTCCTTGCTAGCGAAACTGGGGCAATACTGTATGTATGTATCGCTACATGTAAACACGGGTGTATATGTGCTGTGCATTATCACGGTCTCGAATGTCATTTCTGATATCGGAACCTTTTATGTAGAGGTGCGCTCCAACCAGCGTAATTTTCGAGGGACACCAAGTCCCATAAGATGTTAGATCTATTCTCATATCTCGTCTGTGCTTATACTGAATACCAACTGATGGTTTCACTTGGTTCGTCGATAAAAAGAACATTACGAACACTGAAACGAATCTTACTTAACGAAATGGGAACTTTAAATTCTAGTTTGATGTACATTAATGGTGAATATACTCTACATAATGTAACCAACGAATATAATTTTATTAAGTCTCGCCAACAGCGGATCAAATGTTTACAATAGAAGCTTGATAATTCAATGTCCGTTAATTGATCACTACGAACGCCGCGCGCACACTGGATTTCTCACACGTGCGCGTACCATAATCTGTCGCCCAGGGAAGAAAAAACGGAGTAGGTACATACGGTGTCACGTTTAACTCACACATTTTTTATCACGCAACTTCGATTCTGAATAACTTTTGTGGATACACTTTTTTGATACATATCTCTAAAAATAATGGAGATAGTAAGGCGATCAAAAAGTTCGTATATCCAGCCCACCCTATATGTAGCTACGTGGAACAAGTGAACGAATGATTATAGATCAGTGGGGAGAGCACGTATATGATTGGAGCTCGTTAATGGATCAATTATAGTACTTTTGACCCTCTACAGCGCTTAAATGATCAATTATCGAGCTTGTACTACATTTCGCTACCCTCATTGTTATCATAACAAAAAAATTTGTTCTGCAGAATGTATTCTGTCACGTACAAAAATTTAAATACGTTAACATGACCAATGTACATACATAATTTTTTGTGTGAAGTAGACTCACACGGTACATTATCAGTGACAGGTTTTCTGCATGTGCGCAATAAAGGTTTGCAATCAGTGACCGTTAGATGGCAACATTTTCGATCGATCAAAGAAACGTGCACTGTGATTCGAGCAGGTTCCTGTTGGTTCACTAATCGCGTCTGCCTCTATTTTTGTAGAGGTCGAACGCGTTTGCCAGCAAGCGCTATCCGTGCTCGAAGATTTCAGTGCGGCTTAGACTTCAGCCGGACGAGGTCTGGCCTATTGTGTCTTCGGTGTGTGTTACTGTAAGTACCAGCATTATTGACTGAAATTGATCGTATTTTCGTGTCGTTTCGTCGTATCACGTCGCACATACAGCAACGACTATGTAAGTCAATCGTGGCGATCGTTTTACCGCGCCATTTCCCGGCACATCAATTATTTTATTGACAATTCCCTGTGGCGGTGCGAAGTGATAGACGAAATTGTCTGTAAGACTTGAACTTATTCATTTGTGGCAGTGCTATGGAATTCAAGCATAATTTTTCCTCCATTTCTGCACAAATTTCTCACCAATCGTACGTCTGCGGCAAAACTGACTAACGATTGCTCGTGTCACGGTTCAGTCTTATATGGGACTCATGTCGTCGCAACACAAGGATTGATTGCGCGGGTTAGGTACAATTTTTGACTAGTATAGTAGCATTGATGATTGGTGTTTTTGCCTACAAATTCTCAAAATAGGGCCTACGACGAAAAAGTTATGACAATTTGCCAACGAATATCCAATGTTTGGCCTACAATTATTATAGTTGTTTAATTAACAAGAAATTTACAATGATAATACAATGTTGGTCCACCCAAAGTTTTCCACCATTTAAACATAGTCTTGAAGACGTCAGAAACGTTGCTACAACCAAAAACTTGTTATTATATTTCAAATTGATTTTTTTGTTTTCTTATTTATGAATATACTCGCAATTTGTTACTGTCGCGCAATACATTTGACATTTGAAGTTTTGTGAAAATAGAGTCAGGGCACAGAATATTGGAAATAACTTATAATAATTATTTGTAATAGCTACATGTATAAATTATACATAATAAATTGTAAAGGTAACTATGCTAGTAAAACACTTGTTTACCTGTTTAATATACATGTACAATTTATAGATGTATATAATTATTATAACAAGTAATTATTATAAATATTATTTTCAGTGTTATACTCCTTCAAATATTTTCCAAGGATTTTAGGGAATTGTAGTATAGCCAACTGTCTTCCTATTATTGGTTTATTGTAGATATATACTCAACAATTAGCCCTACAGAAAGAAACCTTCAGTTGGCCCTTCGTATTATAGTGACGTGGGCCCTACGTTGGGTATGTTCGTTGGTCCAGTTGCAAAAAAGGATGACAATTCTAATGCTGGCCAACCAATACTGCACCAAAGGCCCATCAAAATGGCAACAATAATTGCTACTAGAGGTGTTATTTATAATTCTCCCGATTCTTTTTTTGTATGCAGTTCACAATGAATACGTCTCGATTTCATTGTGCTCAGGTTTTTGACAGAATATAGTGATAGATAGTCCAGAAAATTTTAAATAAAAAGTTGATCAAAATTCAACATTTTTTATTTCGAACAGTTTACTAACGACTGAAAAGTGTTTTTGTAAATTGGTCATATATGCTACGTTCATGGCGTAATTTTTGATATACAATAAAAGAAACATTTATGAGCACTATCAAAACGGTCCCCTCCAAACGACGTTTAGGACGTTTATGTAATAATAGGGTGGATCGCTATAGGTATCGATCGACGGGGTCTCGATAGAGGGTCAAAAATTGTGATCTTTGTTGTCGATCATTTGATATTAACTGCGATTTTTGGTTTTGTATACAACAGTTTTTTTGTAAATGCAGGTTTCGGTTTATTCTTTTAAGGTAACTTATCAAATCAATTTTGGAGTAATGCTGTGCTCCATTTTTTCTTCTTTTGGACTAATGAGGTTACGGTAGAACATTAAAGTAGGTTAAGGTAATTCGTTATAATCTTGTACCGGTTGAAAAGAATACATATGAGAAGACATAAAATAATTTTGCTTGACAATATAATCTTCTATTGCGCGAACCCATTTGTTGTGTTAATGTAATACATTTGTTTGCATAACCTGTTTTGTGACAAGCGCCAGTATAGTTTTGTACGACTGTAAATTACTTCCACTTTTTCGTTCCGTATTGAACCATTTCGACTTTGCTGTATATCTTTGCAAAAATCCACGTGACAATGCGTCAGTTGATGACTTATTGCGTACACGTTTTTGCATCGTATACAACGAAGAATAATACTTTTAGTATTTATATAAAAATAAAACTAGTATTTATATTAACATTAATATTTTTCTTTCTATAAAAATGTGTATGTTATGAAAATTTATATTTTGAGGAAAGTAATGTAGGCAATTCTTTATTATAGTCGAAATAAAAGCACGTACGATGAATTGTCATTTTTTTCAATGGGAATTATTAGGAGTAAGGATAAATCTTCCTCTATCCCGTATGTGATATATGGGAACTGTTGTTGGGCGGGTTAAGTCATTACCCCTCTTTTTGAAGTTTGCCGGTGGATGACTATTCTAGTTCTCAATCGGTATTTTAACTTATATATGGGCTGAATGAAGTAGGTATTATTTATTTAAATATCCTTTTCAGAAGCATATTTTATCAAATACTTCCCGATTTTGCGGTTGAAAATCCTACTTGTAAAATGTATAAAACGTTGAACATTTCTAAAAACAGATTTCTTATTGAAGTTTTAAATCAACTAGATTTATATTTTTACAGTAACGATCTTTTACTATAACTATTATTCTTAAACTTTTATAAATTTTTTAATAAAGTCCGCCATAGGTGAAAAAGTAAAAACTGATTTCTGCGACGTTCCTTCGAGAAAATGTAATATATATGTTTATAAATTGAGTCTCTGTATTGCCTCTATTAAATGAATTTCATGCATCTGAAGTATTTGTAAATTTAGTATTACCTTTTTGTACCTCAGAAATGGAAAATTGATGAAATCGGCAAACTTGTTTAACAAAACATATATTTAATTTTATAGCTTAAAATACTGGTGTTTGTTATATGTATTTATCATACATAAATACATACTCTACTCTTCTACATTTATCATACATATTAAAGTACAGCTACACTAAAGTCATTAAAGAATTGATCTTTGGTAAGCTCGGATATTAATATGGAAATAGATTTATTTATAATTACAAAGGTTCATGTGTCATTTTACGTAAGAAATTAGGGAAACGATTATGGTTTATCCTTTATGACCTAGGATGTCTAGCAGGGACCTAATTATGCGTCACACGTTACTGTTATGTAATAAAACTCAATTATGTAACACGTTCTGTTGTCTCCTGTAGCTTCGAGGAAAGTAATCTGCGAGAGTCTGAACCAATTATGAGCAACCTTTTTTTGCAGCATGCCAAAATTGGAAACCGAAACAATCCGGACGGGCCGTTGCTACTGTAAACTTACAGAACCTAATATATATTAATTAAAAAATTGTTAATTAAATGTAACTTTCACTTAATTTTTTTTATTTTAACTGTTTGAAATGAGTTGTATAATGAACTTCGGCAGTCGCATGCGCACTAATTTTTATCAATTGACTATGGAATTCGTTGGTTTAGTTGTTTAATTGTAATACAAAACAATAGTAATAAATAAATATATTAATAAATAATTACGATATTCAGACAAAGTTTTTGTTATCATTTTTCAAAATTTGAATTATTCAGTATAATTTGTTATTTTCTTTGTTTAGATAAATTCTTTAGGTACAGTATTTTGCATCTAACATGATTTACCACGTGTATTTAACGGTTGAGTTGTTCATTATCTCATGTACATGTTACTTTATGGTAAATATTAATTATTATACAATTCTGATTTAATAATTAACGGAGAAATGTTAAAGTTTTGCATAACGAACAATTACAATTAAATAGAAGTTACTAAGGATCTCAGACGTAAATGTTGCTTAATAAGATAGCAAATAAACATATTTACATACATATTTGTTAAAATAAAGATGTTTTTTACCTACATGTTATTGACTATTAGACCACATTCAATGTATAAAAACAAATAAATAAAAAAAACAGTCTAAGTAAGCAAGTAGCAATTACGTTAATGTTATTAATTGAATAACAAATAAAAATTTGTAATTGAAAAGTAATGTAAGTACCTCAATGAATGAAAGATCCTGATTAAGCGATAATGAAAATATACTGACAATGGGGAAGTAATTAATTTGTGATAATTCGTTTAGTTGATAATTTTTTGGGTACTTGCTCGATTGCTTGATTGACATTAATGATGTGCATAGTACTTCTTAAAATAAAATCTTTAAGGATATCTTTTATATTAAAAATAATGATAGCTAATTCCATGAATAATGAAGAAAACCGTAAGAATATTATTTTAACTAGGATCAAAGTAATTAATAAAAATTTCCTTTCCACTTTTATTGTCAACAAGTACATACTGTAGTACAAGCCTTTCTTTCACAGTTTTCTTTAGAAACAAAAAACTTTCATAATTGTGTAAATACTGTAACATAACCTTGGAATTAAAAAGCATTATTCCTTACAGCATTCGGTTAGAAATAGTTAAATTACGCTTTACACATTGTTCTACACACACATCTTCTAAAAGCAGATTTATATGCTTTGTTTTTCGTAATTTCTAGCTTGTAAGAAACAAGCGTATGTTTGTACACAAGCTCTCAATAAAATTAAGGCCGAACTCCGAGATCGTGCATTACACACCAAGTCCTAAAAGACAGTTTTAATGAAAAGTATCAAGCAAGGTTATTCCTTGCAGATTTACGGAAATATTTTATGTTGGGCGCAGTTATACATATATGTATATCGAATCGCGTTTAATAATGTTCTGACATCGCCAAAAAACATGACAACGATAACGCGAACCGTGATGTCATAAGTTGGGCAAACGCACCCAATATCGCTCACCCAAAGTCAAATTGTTCTCAATGGAAAGGTAATTGATATTTTTGTACTTAATTAGTCTTAGATAAAAAGGAAATTGTTTGTGTTTAATATACGACAGGTTAGAATTGGTCAAATCTAGATTTTCAATCGCGATTGAATACAAAACAAGACAATCAAAATCAGGATCGCAGAAAAGTGCACATAATATCGCCTACCTGAAAAATATTCATCAATTCATGGATTAGGAACTTTTAAAGTTATATTTATATGTGTGTTTATTATTTTGAACTATGTGGATATTTTGGAGACTTTTTGCCAACCCTTTTTTTAACGGGATTATATTTAAAAAATGCC